ATTGCCTAATGGTAAGTCCCCTCCTGCCTGCTTCAGTCTGGTGGGATTTCTAACCAGATCTCCTCCGTTATATAACTTAATGTTTGTTTTTAGAATAAAGGATTAAACTTAATTAAAGAGCAAACTTGAATAAAGTTTCTATAAACAATTATTGATTCTTTTTTAAAAAGGAGAAAGTATTTTATTTTTATCAGGAGAAAAAGCTGTGATCAGTTTATTCTGGATTTAATTATAGCTACAATTAATGGTTATTTTGGAAATCAGTGAAACTTTTTATTATTTTTGTAATTAATTGATTAATAATCAGATATTCAAAGTTTCCTTAAAGAAGATTTTTTTTTACAAAATTGAGGAGTTCTGGATAATAGAGCAGATTGACGGATGAACATTTTTTTTTTTTTATCCTAAATGCAAATTATTCTTATAGTTTTCAAAATGTTGATATAATTCCTGCTCTAAGTGGGTCGCTCTGTCAGCTAAAGGCATGTCTCTAAGCTCCAGTTAATTATTAATGCTTTACTAGATCTGCGATTATTTCAGTAATCGATTAATCCGGTTAATTGATCAGCCCTGGTTTTTAATTCATTTCATAATTTTAATATTTTATGTTGCATTTCAGCAGCTGCTTGGATTCAGAGACGTTTCCATGGAAACAACAAAAATACATCCGTGGTTGAACTCGCTCCAGATAATTGATCCTGTAACATTAGCGGTATAGTTATTGGTTTAGTTATGCAGGCCGGTTCTAGTGCTGCTAGTTAACCCTTGTTTTCTTCCCAAATTGCTCCTCAGGCTGTTTACCTGCTTCCATTAACAAGTCACTGGAAAGCAGGAAACTGAATATTAGTGTTTAGTTTCAGAAAGATTCCTCTGAACCACCCTGTGAGTCTGTGAGCGCTTGCTTCATTTTCTATCATTTCTGTCTCTTTCAGCAAGAAATGAATCCAGAGAGACCCAAGGACCCCTTCATCTCTGATGTCATAGCGTACTATGTCCGCAGCGCCCAGCAGCCCGTCTACTTCACCATCTATTTTGTAAAGGTAGTGACCCTAAGTGTGGATTTATCATGTTATTGGAGAACCTCCTCCTGGAAACGTNGATTCCTGATCCTCCACGGACGGGTTGGTCGTTGGATCGCCAACTTGAAGAGGGAGGATTTGCCATCGAACTTCTGGCCAGAGAAAAAACCCTAACCCTGATAATATTTATTTAGCGAACTAAATATTTATTAAACAAAGTAATATTTTTATAAATGAATGAATGACCAAGTGAAAAAATGTATTGGAAAAAAATTACCCCCTAATTTTTCTCCTAAAAAACGCTAAATACACTGGAAAAAATCAAAATCTAGATAAGTCATTTCTTCTTAAATCGAGGAGATTAAAGAGATATTTTGCCAATGGAACAAGACAATTTAGATTTAAAATAAGAAAACACATTTACATTGTCTTATTCCAAGTGCATATTATCTAATTATCTTATTTTAAGTGTAAAAATACTAATTCCATTTTACCTATTCAAATCAAGGGTAAATACACTTTATTTAAGACATTTTTACTTATTTATAAATCATTTTTGCAGTGTAATCATAAATATTGCTTCTAATTTTTGACGGCTTAACTTTACAAACGGCGCCCCGTAGCAGAATGCCTCTTCTACATCATTTTATCATCTTTGGCAAAAATCCGGGTTCATTTCCAGTAAAGATCAAAGTTTATGGTAGAAATAAATTCCTTTTAATTAAAAAATTGACCCAGAGAATGAATCATTCAGCCTGACTGTGACGTAACGCTCTGCCTGCTTCGGCCGTTGATCACCAGTAAAGGTGCCGTAAACCAGTAAAGCCGAGCTGTCAAACGTCACCGTTAAAGAAAAATCAGCGTTTAGCTGCTTTCAGGCTCCAGAAACAAACATCTTTGACTGAAAATGTCGCTTCCTGAAAACTCGACACGTTTTAACCACGGTTGTGAGAACGGTGCAAAGCTGGAGGTTCTCACACATGTGTGCTTTTACAGAAAGAGAGAAGCCCGGCGGCTCTTTATGACCATGAAAGTCAGCCTCCAGTTCTACTACATTCCTGTCTGCTCGGCGCCGGCACCCAGCTCCCCTTCTACGGTAAGCCACCCCCCCCCCCCGGTTGCATAATTAGAGTAAACAAATCTGCAAGGATCATGAAACATGAGGAAGTGTTGGGCAAGTCCTGAAGGCGGGTTAATGACTGAACGCTCAGGCTGCACCCAACTTTTTAACTTCTGATCCAAGAAGAGAAGAGAAGCTCCAACTCTGTCTCTGTGCTAAAAAAATAAAAACTATTTCAATCTGAAAAACTCACAAAAGACAATTAGGAGAAATTTATTGATGCAGTTACTTTGTCTTTGGCGCTCAGACCTCTGCAGGAAACATAGTGTTTCATTTTGATAGATTTGCATGAACAGGAGCAAAGAACAGGGCTGTTTCCCCCCCAGGCCTGAAACTGGTGGTGGATGGAGATAGATGGAGTTGGTCAGTCTGTAGACTGCTGGTTGGAGAGACGGTCTGCTGAGCTTTATGGGGAGATCCAGAGGACTGGGCTGATACTAGAGCTGCACTCAGGGACCTGGAAGATTAAAGTCCAGGTTGAGAGAACCTGTCCATGATGAGCAAGCATGAAGCGACAGTTGAGAGGAAAAACTCCCCGTTGGGAAGAAACCTCTGGCAGAACCACGCTCAACATGGTGGTCTGCTGCCGGACCGGTTAAGATGAGACAGGGAACGCAGTAAGGCTCCGCCCACACGAAGTCAAAANCACCAATTTAGTGCTACTTGGTCCCAATGGAATTTCCCATTGGGAACCTGCTAGCGCTAAGTTGCTAACTGGTTAGCAAGATGCTTCCCACAAACCGGCCACAACCAAACTTACATGTTAACCTTTCACCACAACAATCCCGCCCCCTTGATAATCGACCAATCACATTCACTTTATTCAATCGTATAAAGTCGGGCACCACTCGAGAAAATTCGGGAATGCGACAGTTGGAGCCGCCGCTTCCCTACGACTTTAAGATCTGAGGGCAGATCGGAGGACAGATGGAACATCTCACTACTACTCAAAAACCTACTTCTTGTAGAAACAAAAGGGTCTTGGTTGACACGGATTTAAAAGTAGTGTAGCTTAATATGGATAACTGACTGAGCTAACAGGCTAACCTGTTAGCACAGCTAGCCACAGCGCTAGCCAGCTCTCCCCCTTTATATCATGGTCTAACAGTTACTTTGTTCACCAGAAACAGATTCTTTTCAGTTTTGTTAATCAGGTAAAACATGCTAACGGACACTGCATGATGTCATTGCCGTTGTCTGGGCACCTGCTACCACCTGCTAGCGCTAAGTTGCTAACTGGTTAGCAAGATGCTTCCCACAAACCGGCCACAACCAAACTTGCTTGCAAACCTTCCGCCACAACAATCCCGCCCCCTTGATAAACGACCAATCACATTCACTTTATTCACTGGTGTAAAGTCGGGGACCACTCGGGAGAATTCGGAAATGTGACGGTTGAACAGCCGCTTCCCTACGACTTTAAAGGAAAAGTCGTAGATCTTGCAGATCTGCTGAAACGCCTGCAGGTGGAGCTGCTGAAAAAGTTCAAAAGATCAATTGAAGTGGCTGAATGTTATCATTTAATATTTATAATTCATTTTATAGGAAAAGTCTGGTCATCAAGGAATAATCAATGGATCATTATTTATACCAAAAATTAATCCGTTCACAGTGATTTACAGCCTGCAGTGAGGTAGACTGACGTTCAAAGTGCAGCCAGGGTGCATCTTCACTGCTTCATAGTAAAAAGACAGAACGGGAGGACGCAACGCTCCTTCCAATTAGATCTGTATGACTCACAGCTAGCTGCTGTGGATTACATTAGCCCTACTTCATCATAAGCCTTAGTTTAAATTGGTGCCGGAGCAGAGACTTCATTTTCTTTTCATTTACAGCTGCNGCGTTTCAAAATCTTCCCACTCTGAAGGGTGAATAAAAAAAAGATCGTTTACAGACCCCCGAAACGCCGGCTTCGTATGGATGAGAGGCTGGTTTGGTGAAACATTAGTGCGTTTAGGCCAGGGTTTGACTTCGTGTGGACGGGGCCTAAGAGTCCGGGAGGAATGACGATCTTTAAAAGGGGGATTGTTGCCAGGAGACATAGACAGGTATGGGGCCTTGCAGGCTAACAAAGAAGCTAAACGACCCCCATTCCAAAGGGGGGGACCCGTTCATCCGTTTCTATTTGCAGATTTTCTAAAAACAAGGCTTTGTTTTTGGTCCACTCTAGAAAGTCTGGAACTAAACGATATTTCTGACATTTTGAATTGAAAAATCTTCCTGGATGGAAGAGAAACGTCTTTAAATTTGGAAACAAAGTTCAGTGGATTGATTTTATTAACTTTTTGGGAATGACTATAACCTGGATGACTGAGAATCTTCACCAGCACTCCAGCTCAGTTTAACTCTAACTAACTAACGCCATTAGCAGCTCTGCAGTTTCACATTTTGGTCTTTGTTATTAAAATTTTCAAAGTGCTAACAAGTCAGTCTGTCTTTTGCTGTTTGAGGAGTTTTTAGTTTCATGTCCGTTTTTTGTAGGTGAACCTCAGTCAGAACTTGGGGGATTCCTGCACGCTTGGTTCCTACTTGAGCAACGTGGATCCATGGTACAACAGCAACATCAACAGTCTGGGATGCATGATCCATAAACTGGCTAAAATGGTAGGACGTTGTTTTAATCGGTCTGATCCTTGCTACCCTTATGAGGACACAATGTCTTTGTGGTTTGCCTGACATGTCTGAAACCCTGTTACCGAATCTCGACTCCACCAGCGCTGCAGCAGCGCTTTCTTTAGCATAAACACAGGAAGTTGCTTCACATCATTTCTACGAGGGAAACCACAACTACAGACATCTAATCTCTGAGCACAGCTGAAATCGCTCTGACTGTTTATTCATAAGCTGGAAACGGATTGGTCGCCATGTGGAGGAGAGAAATCTGTGAATGAGGATCAACTGGAACCAGGGGCAGATTTAGGAAATGTTGGGCCCTAGGCAAAGACAGGCAGGGGCCCCTCTGAATGAGAAGACATAAAACAGACCCATTCTCCAGATAGAGAAATGTTAATAGAATAGACATCCATTATCTGTTCTAGGTTGTGT